GTACCCTTTTATAATCATACTGACTATCTCTCCCAAGCTTCTCTGCCCCCTGGCAACTACTAGTCGGTTTTCCATCTTTATAATTTTGTCATTTTGAGAGAGTTATATAAATGAAATCATAGAACATGTGAGTTTTTGTGTTGAGCATGTGATCTTTTGAGATTGCTCTTTATGTTTAGTTTTTTAAGAAACCACCAAACTTTTCAGAGTGGCTGTACCGTTTTACATTCCTTTCAACAGTGTATGAGACATCCAGTTTCTTCCACATCCCTCACCTGCATTTGGCATTGTCACTATTTTTTATTTTAACTGTTCTGATAAGTATGTGGTGATGTCATGGTCTTAATTTTTATTTGAAGTGATCTCTGTGGTTTTGATTTGCATTTCCTTAGTGACTCATGATGTTGTGCATCTTTTCACGTGCTTATTGTCTGTATATTTTCTTGGAGAAATGTCTGTTCAGATCCTTTGCCTATTTTTAAATTGCATTATTTTGTCTTTTTATTATTGAGTTATAAGAGATTACGTTCTGGGTACCAGTCCGTCGTCAGATAATAGATTTGCAAATATTTTCTCCCATTTTCTGGCTTGTCTTTTCATTTTCTTGATGGTGTCCTTTGAAGTACAAAAGTTTTTATTTTTTATGAAGTCTAATTTATTTTTATGAATCTATTTTTTTTTCTTTTGTCACTTGTGCTTTTGTTACCAAGGAACCATTTCCTAACCCAAAGCCACAAAGATTTACTTTTATGTTTCCTTTTAAGAGTTTTATAGTTATAGTTTTACATTTATGTATACACCCTTCTTGAGTTAATTTTTGCATATGGTGCAAGAAAGGGGTCCAATTTTCATCTTTTGCAAGTAGATACATAGTTTAGATATATAATTTAGTTGTGACTACTTTTTGAACTCTGTGTAAATGCAACAATGTAGTATGTATTATTTTCTGATGGGTTTCTTAACATGAGATTTTTGTATGTTATTGTGTAGAGCAGTAGTTCATTCTCCTTACTGTAAATCATTGAATGAATTTACAAAGATTTGTTCATTCTGTAGTTGATGACATTTGATTGTTTCCAGTTTGGTTACTAGAAATAATGCTGCTGAGAACATTCTAATACGTATAGGTGCACATAGCAGGCAACCTCTTGAGTGTATGCATAGGAATAGAATAAAAGAGATCCTAGGATACTTATATATTCAACTTCAGTATATTGAATCAATTGTACCAATTTATACTCCCAGTAGCAACATATAACAGTTCTCTCACTTCACATTCTTATCAAAACTTGATATTGTCATCCCTTTTAATATGTCTGTATTTCACTGAGGTTTTAACTTGCATTCCCCGATGACCATTGAGGTTAAGCATCTTTTCATACGTTTATTGGGTGTGGTATTAGTCATTTAGATATGGTTTAGAAAAACATTTCTTGTGTACTTACAAAGTTGGTGGCTATTATGGAACTATACAGTTACGTTTTTATTCTGGGAATCAGGCTGAAAGAGCAGCTTCCATTTGGGATATGCTCCTCTTGTTTCAGAGGGGAAAAGGAAGAAAAACGGCAGAAACTAATTCTTTCAAAAGTTCTGCTTGGATTTAGGTCATGTAGGTCATGTCCATATATACTCCATAGGCCAAAGCATAGCACAAAACTGTGCTCAAGGTCAGTGGGTCAGGGAGGTATCCTCCACTCAGGCATTGCAAGTCACATGGCCATAGATGGGGATGAATGATTCTTTCACAGGAAAAGAAGGACACAAATACTCTGGAACAGTAATAAAGTATACCACTTTACTTGTGAGGTGCCTGTTAACTCTCTTGTCATTTTCTGTTACCTTGATTGTTTTCATATCAATTCCTAGTGGGGTACCCCCCTGCCAGCCTTTCTTCTTTTTCTTAGTAAGTTCTGGGTGTACAGTCTTTGTTGGTTATATGTACTGCAGTATTTTCTCCCACTCTATGACTTGCCTTTTTAATCTCCTAATGATGTCTTTTGTTAATAAAATTCTTTTTTAAAAAATTGAGATATAATTGATAAATAACATGTTTCAGATCTACAACATAATGATTCAATATTTGTATATATTATAAATAAAAATTATAACTTCATTTTTGTGTAGTTTATCAGTTATTTTAAATAATTGTGTTTCTTGTTTAAGAAATCTTT